CTATTCATGGCGTTGTCGCTATGGGCATATTGCTAAGCGGTGTAAAACTCAACTCAGAATCAGTCAGTCAATTCAAAGGTTTTATGAGTTTATCAAATTTCATTGTCTGGCTTGTTGGGAAACCAGATAATAGTCACATGTGAAGTTTACCACGATATTCAAGCGTTCCACTGGACATCCCATGACTACATGAGTATGAAGTTTTTATGTTTTGTTAAAATGATGTAAAAAGTGATATCCTGCTTTCGCTTTCCAGAAGCGAGATTCCTTGGCGGAATAAATAAGCTTGAACATTGATATAGTATAGCCGCTATATAAAGGTTCATACTCCACTAATATAAAGTCCTGTCTTGGAAATGATGAGATTCATGTTGACACAAAGGGTTTACACAATACCAAGCGTCTGAAAGATTTTTGAGAAACAATTTCTTGTATAACACCTTAAGTGGTGCATGATTGAATATCTCCTGATAAACAGGATGCCCTTGTTTACCTTTTGTAATTAACCTTAAGGCACAATTTCACATTTTTCGACAATATTTTTGGCCTGTGTTATTATATATATTAGGGCATATGCACTCCTTTTAGCATCCTATCGATGCAATAAACATATTATCCCTTACGACTTGCCTGGAAATCGATAATTGAAACTTGAGGCAGCTTCCAAACAGAGAACACTTGCCATATATGGAATGTAAAACTCCATACATCAAAAACTGTTGCCGCAGCGGTGTTGTCGGTGTTTACGAACTGGTTTCAATCACAAGTTGTCGTGGGAAATTCATAAAGGCTCAAGGGACATAACTCTATGGGGTCGCTTGAAATCATGTTTTGGCGGTCGATTTAATGCAACATTGCATTGAATTCATTTGAGCGTTTTAATTTTAATATGGTAATCTAAATACGTAATTGTTTTTAATAAATTACATGGTAGCTTCCCTGAGAGCTAATAGTTAGTATTATTGAGAGAAATGCATATTTTTTTTTAGAAGTGTAGTGTGAAATAGTGCCTTTAAGTAACATCACCGCATTCTATATTGCGTTTTAAACTGAGTCAGTGGAGCCAACATATTTTAATTGTTTCTTTATCAAATATTAAATTTTGCAAATTATCACATGAAACTGTCCACTCTTATACTCTAGACACTTACAAAGGAGGTCATGAACAGTTTTAAAATTGTTTCTCTTTTCAATATGCTATGGAATAGATTTGAGGCAATCAGTTGTGGTTTGATAAGGTACTGTTATTGCCAACACGTTCCTGTTAATTAGTTCATGGTGTCCAACATGGTGTCTATTGGATCTCTATTTACTGGTTTCTCAAGTTTATGTGACTATCACATTTCGAACACATCCTTACAACAGTTGTAACACTTTTTACCTATGGTGTTTTGCTAGCAAATTATGAATAGTTTTCTCCAAATCTTCTGCCATTGTGTACAGCATGCAGTCAACAGTGGAATATTAACAGAGCAAGCCAATAGGTAAAAGTCAGAATGGGAGAACTACTTTCCCATGCCCATATATGGCATCTTATAATGGTCCCGTTGATGCAAGCAAAACTGTTTGAAATCCATTTGTTTTCCCCTCAAAAGAAGCTCACTGACCTGTTCATTGTTTACATAAAAGCCTCTGATGAGGGATGTTTTATTTGTTTTCTTGGCGTGTAGGCGTGTAGGTATATATCTTGATTGTTGAATGTGCAACAGAATCTTGAACCACATCATGTTATCCATGTGATTGCCTGTTCTTGCAACATTTGTCCATGCCGTGCATTTATTTCGTCAGTTGAGATCTCACCCAGGCATTCCTTGACTCTGAAGTTAGACTTTCCTGGATTTTATTTCCATATTGTTTGGCTCAGCTTGAAGCATTTGTTGTTGAAGGCGAAAGATGAAAAGTGAGGTCAGTTTATGCTTTCATTTTGTTTACTTTGGGAAATCTATTTTACTAGATCATTTATGCGTTATTTTTCAGTTTTGTGAGATGGTGCTATGTACCATGCAGCAATAATGCTACATGATCTGACATGTGTGTATTATTTTACTGTTATACAAGCACCTGCTGTTAAATGTGAACCCTCCCCATAAGTAAGTGAAAGACTGACCTACATGTATTCTTTGCAAAGAAATCAAACTAACAATACTTTAGCCATGATTTTAGTTGTACTGCCCTGTGCAGCCCAAACCCAGAGTGGCTCTGAGAGATTGTGATCATCTGTCCTCATCATGATTGCCATGTACAGGTTTTAATATGTTTCTTATTGTACACTAAATTTTAACCTTACTCAGAGCAAGTGTTTCAAGCAAGGCAATCAAAATTTTGTCTGTTGAAAGATGTATTTTTGGAGTGAGAGTTATCTTTCCTTGCCAACCCTCAGGCTCCTCGTAGCAATAGCTGTAAATTATAGGAGGTCTGTAAAACTAGGAGGTAACAAAGAAGATTGATTTTAGTTTGTTATTTGGACATGGACCTAGTCTATTGATGGTCTTTTGACATTTGTCAGTTTTATGATGAACACTTGACTGAGTACTTTAATGCAGTCTTCGTCACTGTTTAGGTCAACTTTACAATCAGATTTGGACCAGACTTACAGTAATTATTTAGTGTTTAATCTCGACAGTTACTCTGTCATGGTGTGACAGATTCACTACACTAATATAGAATGATCAGGTCTTCGTTTTCTTTTGGGAAGAAGATCCGGGTTAGAATTGATCTTCAGTAACCCATGTTTGTCGTAAGAGGCAACAGACAGGATCGGATGGTCAGGCTCGCTGACTTTGGTGACACGTCATCGTATCCCATAGATCGATGCTCATGCTGTTGATCACTGGGTTGTCTGGTCCAGAATCGGTTATTTACAGACTGCCACCATATAGCTGGAATATTGCTGAGTCCGGCATAAAACTAAACTCAATCAATCAATCTTTTGAGTTGTAGATATCAAAAGAGAATTCAACACTCACAAATGCTTGAAAATATTTTCATGACGGAGACTAAGTATGAGTGCATGTAGGGTTTAGGGAATCAGCACTCATGTGGGCTTCATTTTTAACTTGTCCATCTCCATGGAAACAGTGTATCTGAGCATCTGTGTGTGTGCTTGATGTTTGTCTGTATAATGAGAAGACTCAATGCCCATGTTGATCGAACCATGACTTATACATTGATGATACTGGCATAATAGTAATCACAGATGCTATGGCGATTTCCTCAAGTGACTGAGCACTCCACTTGATATTTTAAATGAGTAGTAACTACTTCAGGAACTGATTTGTTACATGTTACCAGAGACCATATGATTATATTATTATTGGTTTGACACGTTGTGTCCAAATGAAGGATAGATTATTCAAATTGTTTTAATACAAACAATGCAGTGTTTTGTTTTGCAACATTTTGTTTCTTTGCTTTTGTCAACTGCTTGTGACTATCATGATGAAAAAAGTTTCCCCCATTAATATCTGACACTCATGATCACAGACACTATACCAGAGATAGGCACTACACAGGGCACAGACACTATACCAGAGACAGAGATAGCACTACACAGGGCAGGCACTACACAGACACTATACCAGAGACAGGTGCTACACAGGGCACAGACACTATACCAGAGACAGGCACTACACAGGGCACAGACACTATACCACACTACACAGAGACAGAGACAGCTACACAGGGCACAGGCGGCTATACCAGAGATAGGGCTACACAGGGCACAGACACTATACCAGAGACAGGCACTACACAGGGCACAGACACTATACCAGAGATAGGTGCTACACAGGGCACAGACTCTACCAGAGATAGAGCACTACACAGGGCACAGAGAGTAAAGGCACTACACACAGGGCACAGACACTATACCAGAGATAGGCACTACACAGGGCACAGACACTATACCAGAGATATACCAGAGATAGCTACACAGGGGACCCTACAGACACTATACCAGAGACAGGCACTACACAGGGCACAGACTATACCAGAGATAGGCACTACACAGGGCACAGACACTATACCAGAGACAGGTGCTACACAGGGCACAGACACTATACCAGAGACAGGCACTACACAGGGCACAGACACTATACAGGAGACAGACGCTACACAGGGCACAGACGCTATACCAGAGACAGAGCTACACAGGGCACAGACACTATACCAGAGACAGGCACTACACAGGGCACAGACACTATAGAAGACACAGGCACTACACAGGGCACTACACTATACCAGAGACAGGCACTACACACACTATACCAGAGACAGGCACTACACAGGGCACAGACGCTATACCAGAGACAGGCACTACACACACAGGGTACAGACACTATACCAGAGCCAGGCACTACACAGGGCACAGACACTATAACAGAGATAGGCACTACACAGGGCACAGACACTATAACAGAGATAGGCACTACACAGGGCACAGACACTATACCAGAGACAGGCACTACACAGGGCATTGACACTATAACAGAGACAGTCAGGACAGACAAAACATGCTCTGTACAGGGCACAGGTTACATGCAAGACAATCACTACTCACAAAACATATTTTCAACTTCGTTACGAGAACTGTCAAAATCAAATCAGATAGAAGTACTGACAAATGAAGGGTAGTTGTCACTGTTGTATTATCCTAGTTATGGCTTCTGCTGTTTGTGTAGGACAGCTAATTACTGCAAATAGTTGCCAATATCTGTCCCTCATCCTACATGCACAACTGGCACCTTAGTCAGATCAGCGTGGTTGCCTGGCAACAGCACCTGTGTTCAGCATGAAGAGCTACTTAGTATACCAGGCATCATGTCTCCGCCATTGACAGCTGTACATAAGTAGATCCAGTTCTGTAATTCACAGTAGACAGTATATTAAATGTTTACATGGTACACTGTGCTTTAATACAAACACAGCTTCTATGAAAGCTTGCAATAACAGCAGGCTTTGAATCTGATATATTACATTTGTTTCTCTTGTACTCATTTTATTACTGTCCACAAATTAAACTAATATAATTGTAAAATATTAGATCACAGAATTCATGGGAAAATATACCAATCACTGATTATATACTGATGGAAACTAATAAGGTAGCACATGAGAATACAAGTGTTCCTAAATCCTTTTCTTTGCTTATTTTGTGCACTTTGGGTAAAACTCTGGGAATAAATAAAGGAACACTTGTACTTTCATGTGTTCCTTACTTCCATCAGTATATCATGTAATTCTCTATATCTCCAGGACTTTGAGTAAACCTACACTAACCCTTGCATTGCGGTAAACCAAGACATAAGCTGAAGGTAGTTTTACCAAAATGGGAGCCCTGAAGATATGGAGGAGGATCAGTTACTAATATTTTGTACAGTGCATGAGCCAGAAGAGGCAGCACAAACTGTCCATGGCTGATTATAGTGTTAAGGAATCTGGAGCTCTGAAGGAAAATGTTGAATAATGGTGCTCCACGTGGTCCTTCTGTCCTGGACCCCTCTGAGAAATCTCTCAGCACACACAGTGTACGTATTGGTGTATGACACATGCAGTTTATGTTTATTTAATGTGTGTGACACATCCTTATGGGAATGGTTATGATTCAGTCACACAATAGTTTGGACCATCCTCTGCCTCAAAGTTACTGTGTAAACACTAAGTGTCTATTTTTGGTCATTTGTTGTTTCCGCCTCTGTAAGGGTAAAAGTAATTGCATAATGTCTGGCTAAACAGTAGTTCATTGTCTTACCGTAAACCTTTACAGCTTAAGGTTAAACTGATCTTAAGATTACATATGAATGTAATCGTATTGTCCTATAGGAACTAACATTGGGTGATCTCGTTCTAGAAATACTGGACAAAATTTCCTCACTTTTTACACAAAGTAAGTTGTTCAAATGTCCTCAAACTGTGTTGTTGGTCCATACACAGTTGAATGTATTAAATGATTCAGTCCCCCAGACTATTAGATGGTCAATTCCCTACTCTAGAAGACAAATCCAATCAGGACATAGTTATATGCTGCTAATCAATGTTCTGTTGTCAACAAGACATGAATTAGATCCTGTGATGTTTCAGTATTTCATTTTGAATTCCAACATGCCTGCTTCCTGGAGTGCCTTCTTAAATGTATTTTTGTACAGAAACTTTGTTGTGTCATCCAATTTTAATCAGTAACATACCATATTTAGTCCAGAATTTTGTTTAAGTACATCCATTATCGCATTTGATAATATTCAGATTGTACAGACTAACAGGGGTGTCACGATTCACAATTACGTCAGACAATGCAAAATAAAAAACACCTATCCAATTTGTCAATCCTGTGTGCTTGGTGTAGTGGATAGAGCCCTTGCCTGGAGAGCAGGCCGTCGGTGGTTCAATCCCCGGGTGTCATACCAAAATATTTTAAAAGATAGTAGGCTGTTAATTCGCTTGGTACTCAGGAGGCGGTGGGGTAGCCTAGTGGTTAAAGTGTTCGCTCATTACGCGAAGACCTGGGTTTGATTCCCCACATGGGTACAATGTGTGAAATCCATTTCACACATGTGTCCCCCACCGTGATGTTGCTGGAATATTGCCAAAAGCGGCATAAAACCAAACTCACTCACTCACTTGGTGCTCGGGATTAAAAAAGGACTGTTTGCATGTTAAACTATGGTATTGTTTGTCTGTGGACTGGCACTGTAAAATCGGCATTAGTCTCGACTAGCACAAGCATCCACACACATGCATGTCACAATGCAAGTGGAATAATCTTCACCCGTACCACCTGCCACACAGCAACATGTTAAATCTGCTGTACAATACTGTGAGACTGAGTCCAATGAACCAGTCATCCATGAACTAGCTGATAACAAAATGTTGGCTGCTGAAAACAAAGAGAATTTAAATATTGACATAGGCATCACATCATGTCGAAGCATTGATCCATGAGGTCGGTGTCTCGTGGGACCCCTATACACAACAACCACTAATGTGTTGCAGTGTTACATATGTAGAGGTTCAATATACTAATCAATTTATGTTATAATAAGTCCATACATAATGTACCAGACTCCATTCAAGTGAATGGTCATGGCACTTTAACAGTGTATACTACATTATATTACAATGGTTACATTATTATGTATATTTTACCCAAGAGAATGCTGTCCTATATAACTAGCATGTAGAGGAAGAATTCTGAGAGTTAATAACAGCAGATATTACTTGTTTAAATGGAGGGATGTAGCCTGTGACTTGGTTGTCTAGTGTTGTAATGTCTTAATGTGTATCTGCCTGAATGTGTATCTGCCTGATCTACCATGACATTCCAAAACATTTCGATGATATTTTTGTTTCTCCTCTGAATCTGCCAATCTGCAGGTATTTTTTGTTGTTGTGCCAAGGCCCCTCTCCCCAACTCTTTTTGTTTCCAGTTTTTCTGAGTCATCAAGAATTCACGTATTTGCATGGTAGTAAAGCATACTGCTGTAGATGGCAGGCATCCAGGTAGTCAGTGGCAACAACTGGGACTCTGGGAGAGCGTCACTGCAGTACTCAGAAATGTTTCTAGCTTTTCTTCAGTCTAAGTAAACTTAGGCTCAGTATTATTCGTTACACTGCTATACTGAGTCTAACAAAACCTAGTAGAAGGTCGCGTCAGCTAACCTTTGAGCGAGCTATGACCCTCCACTCAAACGCGGGACGGCGAATGGATTTAACCAATCAGACAACGACTACTTGTTAAGGTTCGTCGGGACTTACAAAACGGTTTTTGGATTTTCTCTTTCCTGGTCGCTGACACTGATCTATCCACAAACGAAAATACGCATAAAACACAGATATTTGACCTGCAGTATATACGCTTAGGGGTTTCTAATGACATGGTTACTATTTCCTTATATTTTCGCAAGATGACATAATCCTTGAATATTGACAAAAAAACACTGTTTTCAGCAACTGTTTACTCATTGCGTGTATCACTCGGAAGCGATCGTGCAGAAAATAGCTTTTGTAATCGTTTGAGTTTTTGAGGTAAAGGTTCAAATGGTATGTGCGAATGTTAACTTTCGCGATTTGGTAAGCTGTGTTCTAATTAGTCAGTCCAAGAGGTTAGCTGACGCGACCTTCTACTAGGTTTTGTTAGACTCAGTATAGCAGTGTAACGAATAATACTCAGCCTAAGTTTACTTAGACTGAGCTTTTCTTCAAACATATATTTATGCCAAACGTTATAAAATCAGAATTTGGAACATTTTATAGATTTCATAGTACTCAAAAGCTAATGTGATCAGGTTTATATTAAACAGTATTTATGTTCCCAATACCAACAACAGTTAACTATGCCTCAATACCTTGTGTGTCTTCATCACATCATTAGAACTGTTGAATATGATAAACAATCTATTATCTAGATGCCATGTTAATACCATTAAATCTTTTTAAGACTTACCTGCCCTTGTTTACATCCCAAAGGAGTACAGACAGGCCATTATCCTTATTGGGTTTATCTTGATGTTTACGGAAATCAGAAACTTAAGACAATTTGGGAGCCAATAGATGACCTAGAACCTTTTTTTTTAACTTACAGGGGCGGTGGGGTAGCCTAATGGTAAAAGTTCACTATCGTCACGCAGAAGGCCTGGGTTCGATTCCCCACATGGGTACAATGTGTGAAGCCCATTTCTGGTGTCCCCCGCCGTGATATTGCTGGAATATTGCTAAAGACGGCGTAAAACCATAGTCAGTCAGTCAGTCTTTAACTTACAGGTTGTGATGAAGTTGACTGCAACAATTTTGTAATTTTGTGGCCAGCAGTTGTGAATGAATAATGAAGATTATACATGTCAAAGAGTGTACAAGAAAAACAAGCAATGTTGTTAGTAATGACGGTAATACATTTTCTTTTCATAAGAGACACTGCTGAATGCTGCAATTTCTGTTGCACTTATAAAGTGCATAATCTTGTGGTGCTAACTTATGCTGTAAACATGGAACCTACAGCCAATCAGATAATGCAATATTTAGTATAAAATGAAGCTGAAAAGGATCCAACCTATTGTCATCGTGTGAGGTATGGTTGTATATATTAACTTTAATATTGAGTAATAATGACAGGTGATAACGGACCTGGCCCCGATTTCTCGAAACTAACTTAAGTTTTTACTCAAATTTCAAACTGAGTTTGACAATTTGAAACAGCTGAATTTTAAACTCAACTGCATTTTTTAAATAAAAGAGCCCAAGCAACTTAAGTAATCTATCCACCAAACTCAAACTGTCTACTCTGTTTGAGTTTACTTTCGATTTTAGTTCATTCTGGGAAATGCATTTTCTCAAATTTAAGTCAAAACTCAGACTTAAGTTTGTTTCGAGAAATCGGCGCCAGGTGATTACTAAGGTTCGTATTTTAGCATCAAGTCGTTACAAATATTTTATTTGGACAATAGCTTTTGAGTGCGGTTGAGAGATAGGGTATTAATGGAATCAAGTTTTTGTAAACTAAAATGAGTTTGTTTGAAGATTATTTCACTGTATTTTGATCCTAGTAATCTGGTTGTGTTGTATGCAGTCAGTGTGGTATTGTATACTGTATACGAGTTGTATAAGCCTCAGACCCCAGGGTATATCTAACTGTATGCTGCAGGCTTCATCTTGGGTAAGACTTGGGGTTACCTTTTATTTCTTGATAAAAATGTGTTCTGACAATAGGTGACCACTTA